AATTTTTTTATTCTACTGATAAACAACAAAGTAGAAAATCAGCTCTCAAGCAGAAAGAAAAAGAGAAAGGGAAAAGCATTAGTATAAACAACCTACTTAAATATTGATAAATATCTTCATACTCAAGTATTCTCTGATGGTGAATTCAAATTGTGGCAATGAGATACTTGATCCAGGGAGAAGAAAAGTACCAGATAAAAGACAAACTAGTGCTCTGTAGAGAGGCACCTGGAAGCTGGGATGAAGAGAAGCCAAGATTACTTTCTCCATTGCACCAAGAACTAACCAACCAACTAACCACCAATGACAAAGGGAGACATCCTGGTAAAACTAGGAAAATAATGCTTTAAAAAAAAAAAAGCTCACACTGATTGTGAAAAGTTTGCAATACTCTACCATTATTCCTTTAAACCAAAATGAGCAAAATGGAGTAGTAGGAAATTGAAAATGACCTAATTCTAGCGAGTTGATCACAGATCTTAAAAAGGGGGTAAGGAGGAGGGGAGACCAGGTGGAAGCAATGACATTCAAAAGGAAAAATTCCTAAATTTTCAAATTAAGACTGTGAGATTCTTTGAAAACTCAGCTTTGCAGTTTCATTTAGCAGATTCTGAATTAATCATGCTAATTGTCATTTTATGCTAACTGAACATTTATCATTATGTCTAGAGTGCTTGAAGAGATGATGCATTCAGAAAATCCACTTGCTGGCTCACTGTAGGCGGTAAAAGCAGGTTTTATCCAAGTGACATGATCATAAGGAGTAGGATGGGAATCCTCAATGTTTGAATCCTCAGACCTTCAGTGCAGGCGGAAGGTCTAGTTAACTAAAGGCTCCAAAGTAGCTGTCCACAGGCCAGATCTGGGCTACTGATGTGCTTAGTTTGAACTACTAAATGATTTTAAATAATAATAATAAAAAAAAGCCAAATTGTTACAAGCAAGAAACTGAGCATTTTCACATAAAAAAAAAATCTAAATTTCCTGTTTCTCTGAAAACATCAGAAGTCCTAATGGCATGACCTGTCTATAGGACAGTAATAAGCTTTTAGATAGCACATTCTCTGTTCATTTGTCATTGTTTCCACCACTCCCAATTGCCTTGCATCAGCCTACTTCATTCATTATAGTACCCCTTCAGTTAACTTCCAGTTGCCTCAGGACTTTAAAGTTTATTCATTCAGTCAATGTCCCATTTTTTTAAAAAGATTAAAAAAAAATTTTTTTAAAGACCTTATTATCCATTTGAGAGAGAGAGGGAGAGAGCACAAGCAGGGGGAGCAGCAGAGCGAGAGGGAGAAGCAGACTCCCTGCCGAGCAGGGAGCCCAATGTAGGGCTCAATCCCGGGACCCTGGGATCATAACCCGAGCCAAAGGCAGACGCTCAACCAACTGAGCCACCCAGGTACCCCATTCAGTGTCCCATCTTTAAGTCAAATCTTCATTTGTGATTTTCCAGGTTGATGCAACTGAAATCCCTATTTTCCTACATTCTTATCTCTTAGCATGTATTCTGTTTTCTAGTTAATTGGATTAGAATAGTTATTTCTTCTCAAAACCAACAGGATCAAAATAACCATGCTTACTGACTAAACCAATCCAAATTTGATTTTTCCTTTTTTTTCTTTTCTGTGTTATGGCACCATCATCCTCAGTATCACCTGAATTTGAAAACAGTTCATTCTCCTCTACCCACTTGAGTTTACTCAATCAAGTTTAACTCACTTAGGAAATAGTAATAGAGTACCTACTCTTACCAGGCACCATTCTCTAGGCAATAAGAAATAGCAATGGTCAAGACAGATTCTAAAAACAAATAAAAATAAAAAGCTATTACATAATTATAAATGCTCATTAAGATAACATGATATTCTAGAAAAAGACTGCAAACCTGTTTTAGATTGGGTGGTCAGGGAAACCCATTCTGAGCAGGAATCATTTAAGTAGAGGTATACATTATGAAAAGCTGCTCATGTGAGGCTGGGGGTGAAAGAACATTCCAGTCAAAAGAACATTCCAGAGGGTGCAAAGGCCCAAGTTCTGGGAGTTTAGTGTGTTCAAGCAACAGAAAAAAGTATATAGTGTGAGTGGTGAGTAATGGTAAGTGGGAAAGTAGTTACAGATAAGGTCAGAGTTTTAGGTAAGGGCCAGGTCATATAGGACTTTGTTAATAATGTTAAGAAATTTGAATTTGGGATGCCTGGGTGGCTCAGTTGGTTAAGTGCCTGCCTTCGGCTCAGGTCATGATCCCAGGGTCCTGGGATGGAGCCCCACATAGGACTCCCTGCTCAGCGGGGAGCCTGCTTCTCCCTCTGCCTGCTTCTCCCTCTGCTTGTGCTCTCTCTCTCTCTCTGACAAATAATTAAATAAAATCTTTTAAAAAAAGAAATTTGAATTTTATTCTAAAGCAATGGAAATCCACTGGATGGCTTTAAACAAGGAAGTGACATCATCTGATTTAGGTTTAAAAAGATCAGCCTGGAAGCTCAGGAGGTCAGTTAGGTTAATGCAGTGATAAAAGTAATGAAGGACAGAACTAGTATGATAGCAATGCAAATGGAGGGATGTATTTAGATGGCCCAGTTGAAATAAATCATTGGCAGAGTTGAGGAGGAAAAGAACACTGCTTAGGTTTTCATCTTCTGCAACCAGAGGAGTAATGGTGCACTTTACTGAGATACGGAAGATTGGAGGAGGAGAGGTTTGGTGTTTAGACCACATTAAATTTTGAAATGTATATTTGACACACATGGCCAATGATGTCAGTTGATCAGGTAAATACACTGATCTAGGTTCTAGGGACGAGTCAGAGCTAGAAACAGATATTTGAGAATGGTCACTGTATCAGTAGATTTTAAAGTCATAGGACGGATAAAATCACTTCAAGGTAAGATCTCCTAGGGGTTGTGTGTTGATACAAAAAAGGGTCAAATATAGATATCTGGGCCCTCCAACACTTAGATTTAAAAAAGGAATGAGCAAAGGAGACTGAGAAAGACCCACCAGGGAGAGAGGAGGAAAAAAAGAAGGGCAGATATTACAGAAACCTAGAGGCAAAGTGCTACTAGGAGGAGTGGCTGGATAATTGTGTTGTAAGCTGAGTTGTCTGGATTCTATCTCAAATGTTGAATTGCATTAACAAATATTGATTGGAAATTTATTATACAAAAATTACACCAGGCATTCCTGGGAATACATTTAGTAACCTAAAAAATAAAGCCTCTAGATCAAAGTTTATCTATAAAGTCCTACAACAGCATCTATTTATCACTGAAAATCTCACTGTATCTCTCTTTGGTACTCTACTTATAGGTACCAAAAAATTTTAGGAAAATGTGATTTGGATTTGAAAGGAATCACCTAGTAACAGTCTTGATCAAGATAGAAGAATGGTAACATAAGGTCCCTATTTGGATGGTTTATGTGGGAGGGTATTGCGATTGGGTGACCTGGGCAACTTGAAATTTGCTCAGGATGGGGCGCCTGGGTGGCTCAGTCGTTAAGCGTCTGCCTTCGGCTCAGGTCATGATCCCAGGGTCCTGGGATCGAGTCCCGCATCGGGCTCCCTGCTCCTTGGGAGCCTGCTTCTCCCTCTGCTTCTCTCTCTCTCTCTCTCTCCCTCTGTCTCTCTCCCTCTGTCTCTCATGAATAAATAAATAAAATCTTTAAAAAAAAAACAAAAAAACCCCACAAAAGTTGAATTCCTTGCTCAGCAGGAAGCCTGCTTCTCCCTCTCCCACTCCCCCTGCTTATGTTCCCTCTCTCGCTGTGTCTCTCTCTGTCAAATAAATAAATAAAATCTTTAAAAAAAAAGAAAAAAAAAAAAGAAATTTGCTCAGGATGGCTTGGGGTGGAAATGGCATTTCCGACAGTGCAGCTCTGGCTTTCAGCACTTGACTTGCAATTTATTTGTTTTTCATGAAAGCCATTATAATTCTATGTAGATACTGTTTAGGATAAATAATAGAAATTTATTTACTTACTCATGGTTAATCATGTTATGTAACCAAATAGGGTAACCAGTTAGTTTTAAAATATAAAACTAAAGTTATATATAGCATTTTTACCATACTTTGAATAATTTCTATGGAAAAGCATTTAAAGAGCTCTTTCTTGAGTACAAAAGTCCTAAAAATGGGTAGATGGCAGAATAATTTTGAGAAATTATTTTTGTGTCTCTTTTCTGTGTTTTTTTCCTTCTCCACATCTCAAACTCGGAGTTGAACCTTTGGTATTTCTTTGCCTCAGAATTTTATATAGGTATAAAGCACAAGCTGAAAAGTTGCTTGCTGGGAGATCTATCTCAGCAGTTGTGTGTGTGTGTGTATGTGTGTGTGTGTATCCCTAAAGTCACCGAAAAAGTTGTAAAGTCTGGCTTAAAAGCAGCAGAGCATCCAGGTATGAAGGGAAAATGTAGGCATGGACAAAGGGTGCTCAATGGCAATCAGTATAACCTAATAATATACTACAAGAGAGGCCCAAAATGCTTTATTGCAAGAGAAGACTCTAGGACTTTGGTGGAACTCTGAAAGTCTGAGAAAAGCCTTAACTAATAATGTCTGAAATTGAATTTCCCATTGGGATTCAATTAAATTAAAAACAAATGTTATTATGTGCATTAGTTTATACACTAATTCAGTAATTTTCATGTTCAGTGATTTTACACAAAATTGTATTAAGTAAAAATCATTAATTCAACAGCTATCAGTGTGTGTATGTATACGTACTTATTTATTTATAAATATGTATATATTTATTTCCTTTGCATGGAAGCAATTCCATGTAGATAGTATTCAGGATAAGTAACAGAAATTTATTTAGGTAATTATGATTAACGATGCTGTCTGAACTAGTAAGGTAACTGGTTATTTTTAAGATATAAAACTAAAGTTGCAAAAGCAATCATTACCTATAGGTAATGAGTGATTTCTATGGAAAAACATTCAAAGAGCTTTTTCTTGAATACAAAATTATAAACACATATACAAGATAATACTTACGACCAGCAAGGGTTCGTGTAGATATCCAATTGGAAGCCTTGCCATAGCCGGCATTGGTGCTGGCAGCCACTTGGAATCGGTACCATCTAAATTTCTTTAATCCATACACTGTCTCTTCAGTTAAGTCAGCTTCATAAAGGTATTGAATTTTTTGATATTCAACACATTCTTCAGAATCCCATTCTATGCATCTCTGAGCCCGCAGTTGAGTGGTGATCTTGTAATTTTGGAAGTAGCCAAGAATAGTGTCAGGTCTCATCCATGTTAATGTTGCACTAGTTGATTGAACATTAGAAAAAACAATATTTGTGGGAACACTGGGAACTAAAAGTTAAAGGAGAAAAATTGAAAACAATTAGAATTACCAAAAACTGTCAAACAGAAGGAAGAAATGGATTAAAAAATATGTCTTTATTATACATATAGTGGCAATCTCTTATTACAACTGCCTTTAGATTAGCATCACCACATTTAATGAGCAGAACCTTAAGGTGATGCTTCAGAGACCATTGATTCAAAAGGTAGAGGACAAAACAACCGTGATTTGATTAATTCCCAATTTTGCTCCCAAACTGACTCATAAGAATCTCATATAAATTTACATTGGCTTCATATATAAACACTAGTACAAAGAAAATTGTATGCCCATTTAATCTTATGTACTTCCCTGGGTATGGACCGAGTTCTTCTTTTCCTTAAAATTTTTTATTGTTATGTTAATCACCATACATTACATCATTAGTTTTTGATGTAGTGTTCCATGATTCATTGTTTGTGCATAACACCCAGTG